AGTCATTTTTATCCAACTAAATCTTAACTAAGCTAGCAAGCTAGCTTAACAAAGCCTCTAACAAGCAATTCAACATCCATTGATACTAATAATATAATAATGTCCTCACGTTGGCTTATTGTCTGATGTCATCATCTGTGTCTTACGGTGAAGTGCGTACAGTACATGGATGTACTATGTTCTGTTTATCAGGCCACAAATGAGATAAGAATTAGCGTTAGCTAGCTAGCTTACCCCGCGTCCCTCCGCCTGACTCCCCGCTGCCGCCAGAACCATCAATTGCCAGAAACTGCTGCGCGTTAAGAAAAAAGAGAAGAAGTAAAGTGGATGGTCTTGTTCCACATGAGCCAATCAAAGTAGTGGGTGTTATTGTAAACTGCTTTGAAAGGCTGTGATTGCATTATTATGTTTTCATATTATCATCATATCAGTGGCATGTAATGGTCTTAAAATGACAATGACATAGTTTTATTGCAATGTATTTCTGGGACAATGTGTCAGCTAACAAAAGTAGTTATTGGGACAAGCCCTGCCTTACAGTTACATTGTGGCTGTTTTCGGAGCTCGAGAGAATCAAGGCCAGGACATCTCTGACTGCCTTACGTTGATTTTAGCCATTCTTTTTTAAAATGTTATCTCAACACGATACGATCTGTGCAGCACTACATCACTGGAGAAAATCGCTTGAACCATGTTGAAGATGTTCTATGATGGGGCAGTCAACAAAATCATCATTTCCAATGCAACCACATCTACTTAAACCACAAACAGTCCCATCAGATGGTGCTGTCCATGTCTATGCCAGCATGTGGATCATCTAACTGCAAGTCTAAATAGAAACTGGTGTCGTCGAGTTCACATACAACGCTTTAAACACCTTATGTAACCTCCTGAATTCATCCCGTCTAACCCCTACTGCAGCTACAAGACATAAAAAAAATAACTCTTCATATAAAATGACCACAGCCATTTGAGTAAAGCCATGTGTTGTTCTGAAACACTTTAATGTAGGCTTGCAGCAGAAGCAAATTAAATTGAAAAGGGATCATGTCGTTAAAAGGGCAGGGCTCTTATTCGGGACGTTATCAAGACATCACAGCACGCCATGCAGCGTCCTGTCCCTCCATTAGTTAAGGTAAAACAAGAAGAATTTTGAGACCCCCCTTTGAGCCCAGTAGCCGATCAGGACTTGAATGAGACGTCTTAAGACAAGCCCACTGGGTCTTTATTAACATTACTGCCACATGGAGGCGGTTCGGGTGAATTAGGCCGCTATCGACAGGACATGATGTGGACACGGTGGACAGCTTTCTCCTGTCATTAAGGTACACTTTAATTAGAGTTTGACGGTAATCAATTTGTGTCAGACACCGAAGAAAAAGCTACATTGAATAGCCTAAATGTCAAGATGAGACATTTGCACAGACGGCCTGGAAACCTTCCAATGAGTGCTATCAATAACTGTTGCACAATTCCTCTTACACCCAAGGGAATACATACCATTATGTAGTTTAATATCAAACTAGTCGACCTTTGCTGTCTAACTTTTTGATATTTGTGGTGAAGTACGCGCTGAGCTTTTACGCTGATTAAAGTACATTCTTTGTGTAAACCTCTCGCCCTGTGAGAACATACCTCTGTTACGACCTGAATGAAAAGAGCTCTCTGCCATGTTATCTCTGCCTCTGCCTCTGATTTTACTTTTATGTCTGACTAAAGCTACTAATCATTTGGATCCCATCATAATCTCTAGAATAGTGTTAAGTGTTAACGGCGAAGCAGATGAAAAGCTTATGGTGGAGGAAATGTTCAGAAATGCAGAGCTAATTCCAAAATGTAATCAAAAATCTGCCTTGTTAGTCACTTCTTTTCAGCCGAACGGAAAATTTACTAAATTATTGCAGCCACGAGCGTAACTAAGCTTCCTGCTACCGCCCCAGTAATTAAATTCACACAAACAGACCTGGAGTTATGGAGATACTGACAAAAAACTGAATGCCACACTCAGTTCAGCCTTTTAAGATCAGGACAATTCCGCAGGTTGGATGGGGACATTAAGGCCGTGTTAATGTGTCCCTGTAGCGCTGCGGTGTAACATCTCGGTTATGTCCTTCAGTGTGCATCATTACACTGTTTTATACATACATCCAGGAGAAATCAAAGTGTGCTTGTCCCCCTTTTTTCTGGGGAAGGAATTATGGTGTGTGTTCAGATTTTGTTCAAAGCGCACTCTCCCAGATACTGCTTGACTTTGAGCAAGAAATAAGGACTGCCGTCTGTATCTGAGATGTGAAGCTTTCAGCGGGGAGCGAGAGGCACAGAGAGCGCTGTGTCATGTCGCCCAGTGGGTCGAGAAGGATGAGTCGGCAACAAGGACGTTGGATCCGACTCTATATTCTGTCATGACCACTGATGTGAAGGCACGCTGTGACAAACATTCAGGGTGAAAAATATTGTAACATACTGTAAAGTGATTATTGTATTGCAATGCATAGGGCTGCAACTATTGATGGTCTTCATCACTGATTACGTGTCAAAAAGTAATAAGTGCCTCTTACAGTTTACATGGCACCGAGATAATGTCTTCAAAATGTGTCCAAGTAACTGTCCAACTCAAAAGACGTACAATTTACAGACTCGGCTTTCAAAGGTTTCCAGCTAGTTTCCACCCTGCAGTAAAAAAAGGCCTTAAATATGCACTTAAGGGCAACATGATGGGTAAGGTTTCTTTTATCTATGCTGGTGCTACGGAGTGGAATTAACTGCCTCCTACAATTAACCCACAAAAATGTCAAACTGAGGCTGCTAGACGACCTCTCCATGTAAAAGTAATTTTACCACATTGAAATCAGGGGGTTTAGAAACTTGTCAACTAAAGTAAACTATTCATTTTGAAAGAGCACCAGCCAATGGGGAAACTCCCTCTCGCCCGAGCAATGGTGTAACTTCATCACTCTCTCTCGGTTTATAGTGCTGGCTCCTTGCTGCAGTCCAAAACTAGTGTTTAGAAGGACATTAGTGGTTATGTTAATCATGAATAGGGGTTTAACGTAACCTGTAACCCCACATAATAATGTAGTTAGCTAATGATATGCTAACCCTTGGTCTTGGAAGTATCGCTATGTCACTGTGCGTTACTAGTTAGCCAGGCATGCTTGCGTGAGACATTAGAGCAGACAAACATTCCTTACACTTTTGCTCTTGTATTTTTTGGTTTTGGTGTTTAGACAAAGACACCCTCCTTCATACTATTTAAAGTACAGCTCCATGCACACGAAAATTGCAGATCACTAGACAAGCCGTGACTGAGTTAGTAGAACTTGATGAGTTAGCTGGTATCTGCCTAAAGTAGGACATCTCTGGAGCTAAGTGAGCCAGATGATGTATTGATGAATTAGCATGAGATCATTAGCATAATCAGTAGCTGCGCATCAGATCCTGCCTCGCAGATATGGAAACCAAGTGAGGGCGCAGACACATGTAATTAGTCTGCCTGATTAAAACTCTTTCTGTAAACAATTGTAGCTTGATGAACTGTGAATTAAAGACCGATTATATTTACCGAGGGCGCCCGCGCTCACACATTTTTGAGGGACTCAGTCACAGTGCATTTCTCTCACATGAATAATGAATTGAAATTTCACAAATGTTAAATAACGACCCAGGAATGGAAACCGCACAAACAAATGTTGCACTTTGCACTGGGGGGGTACATGCAGATGAAATGTAAACTGTATGGTGGTCCGGCCAGTGTTTACAGAACGCTGAGACTTACCTGGAGCACTCTGGATGTGTTCCACTGGAGTTACAGAGGTTTAAGATACCCATCTGCACTGCTGCTAAATGGATATAAGAAGAGGATGGGATTGATTCCCGCTGCCTTCCTCCTCATTAACAAGGATGTCAAATCTGAAAACCATGTACGCCATCTATCAACGAGTCAACCACCTCTCACCGGCCTTCTTTTCTAGAAGTGATTAATTCTGGTATAATATGCCTTATGGTCCGAAGATGATTAATTATTTAATGAATTGATGTGAAATCTGCCAGTCATCTGTCAGTCACGTACATCAACAAACCTCCATCATGTTTCTTGGCAGTGGTATTTTTTTTCCACAGAGCAAAGCATCAGATCTGTGAGTTGTGTACATTTAGGAACACTGTTATAATACTGGTGGTGCTCCTCCTTCTTGTGGATCCGCTGTCACAGCTTGTCCAAAATGGACGTTCCTAAACAGGCATTAAGGAGCCAATGAATCAGTTGTCCCTTTAGCTTCACCTTTGATATTGATGATATTGCCAATGTTGCTTCAAATTAATGCGAGAATAATTCTGTGATCGGTTGGAGATTGTCCAGTCCAAGTTATTATCTGCAATGTGAAGATATTGATCAGGGGAAGCAACACTGTTTAAAAACTGTAGCGTTTGCAACAGATGGTTAACTGCACTGCACAGTATTGTTCTTGTAAAACTAAAAGGCACAAATGAGCAGGATTGGTCTTTCAAAAAAAATAAAAATAATGCGGACAAAAAATTACTTGTTGGGTATTATTTGTATTATTTGATTTACTTCATCGGGACTGTGTGGGTGTGATTTAATCACATTTGATTGACAGAGGCCTGGAAACCGACTCAACACATTTTGATAACTCAGCCCCGCCCACATCAAGCCTGTGAGAAGCAAGGACAGAAATCTGTCATCGGGACTACATTAACACAAATGTTCATGTAGAGCCCCATCGCTCCAGAAAGTGTACTCAAATAATCAGTATGTTGGCTTTAGTGCCTTGCAGATAAATGTTAGCAAAACCTGTTGTAGGAAAAAGGTAGTTGACTTTTCGTTCAGTAAAAATGAGTGTTCCTCGTTGCTCCAGCAGTGACAGCCATGGCTGTAACCATAACCACCAAATCCCGCTGTTACCTTTATGGAGCGTCTGCGCAGAGGAAGATTGAGCCTCGTCTTCTCGTTTAACGCATCCTGTCCTTCTCTTCTCTTGCAGTTGGAAAGACGTCCCTGATCACACGGTTCATGTATGACAGCTTTGACAACACGTACCAGGTAGGTGCTGCACAGAGGACATATTTTGTCTCTAATAATCAATTTTGTGCCATTGATCGTCTTTCCTGTCACAGTGAAACGTAGTTTTACATCGATCAAATGCATGACAATCAGGGATGTAGATTTATCAGGAATAGCCTTTCTTGTGTGTGTGTGTGTGAAAACTAGGAAGTAAGTAGCCAACATGACTGTTACGTAAAGCAGACACCTTTGAACTGAACACCAGGGCCCTCAAGCATCACTATTTCCAACCCTGTTCTATCTAAAGCAGCCTAATCTGACCCGTCATCCTAAAACAGAATACTGCTTTTGCAGCCGCGGCACTTGCAGAGGTCTTTGCAAGCGTCTGCAGACAAAAACCGGTAGTTTTATTGCTTTGTAAGTATCTACTTGTATTGTAATAAAAAAGGAATTAAAAATAAATCTCACCAAGCTCCTCTGCCCTCCTTCTCATATAGTTTAGAGAGTGCGTGTTTGCGTCTCTCAGCTCACTCTGGCTCTTTTATGAGGGAATGTACAGTGTTATGAGCCTGTGCATTGTATGAACAATCATAAATACCATCAGTATATGAGAGCGCTGAACGTGCAGAAGAGGTAAGTTTTGCTTCGAGTAAGAAATAACGTGAATACTTTTGTTACCCAAAACCTGAACCTCCTCATCTTCTCCGACTGTACAGTTTTAATTTGAGGAGTAGTTGCCCTCATTTAATAACAGCTGTGAGTTTGAAAAGACATTTCAATCAGTCATGGAATTGGCCAGCAGGCTTGCTTTCAGGCCAGTCGAGTTAATAACGTTCTGCAGCCTCTTGGTCCTTGTAAAGCTCGAGACGCGCGGCTTCAATCTCTCCAGCCCAAGCGTTAATCTGGCGCTGCCTCTAAATCAACTACAGTGGTCTCTGTAGATTGTCTCGGTTTTTCCTCACTGCTCCCTCTAATTTGACTTTCTTGTCCCCTTCAGTATAAATAAGACTTACTCTTTATCTCCAGGTATGAAAGTTTATCAAATGAATAGGGAAATTTGGGAAGTATGCTTATTTCCAGAAGGTAGTTGGTGGATTTTGTTACCTTTTGACAGAGCTAGCTGTCTTAGTGTTAAGCCATGCTAAGCTAACCAGCTGCTGGCGGTAGCTTCACATTTAACAGACGGATAAGAGAGAGGTATTGATACTCTCATCTAACTGTGCCCGTTTGCAAGTTGGCATATTTCCCAAAATGCCACATCTGCACTTTGAGACAGATGCACAGCATGAAGAGCTAGAACATGGTTGAATATATTGTTCAGCTTGTTATAAGTACTATATTATCGTTGTTGCTACAAAGACCTGTTTGGTCTTACTAATGCATCCTGCTAACCCCCAAAAAAGGAAAACAAAAAGCCAACATGTCTCTATTCTTCAGTGTGTGCACGAGTACTGTGCTGCGCTGTAATGAGATTTGAGCGGCTCATTGCGTGTGGATTAAGTTGTCTGTGTTAGCTGTGTGATGCTGTGCTTTCACAGTTGCAGCTGTATCCTCTTATATTTCCACACTCGTAAGTCATGAAAGACACAGAGCCCGACATTTCACACGGACGGTTCGGGCTCGTGTCTTTGTGTTGTTAAGCTGCTGAATCTTCATCATGCGTTGTCGTTTCTTTGAACATCTCTTTGTCACAAATTGCTATGGAACAGGCTTATATTTGGGCAAAGTTGGTTGCGGACTCAAAGGCTGGGAAACAGAGTTATTATCACAGCTGTTTACCCAACATCTTACCTCATCAGTGTCTCTACGGTGAGAGAAGAAATTAATCTGTTCATTCATTCTGCTGCTGGTAGAATGGAAAGATGCCTCTACTGTACATTTTAAAGTCTGTTATTACCTCGGTGTCTCAGAGTCATATCACAAATCTAAACACACAGACACACAATACACATATTTAAACTTCAGTGTAACTTACCGTTTCCTAGGATACCGTTACATCCAATAAACGTCAATAAATGACTTAGAAATCATGAGGAGAAAAAACACTCCTCATAACTTCAGAACCTGAGAATCATCACGTTTTTTAGTTTTCTTCAGAATCTAAGTAAACCAGTGATAGCTTTCTGTACATCCAACAGGATCTGTTCGTTGATGATTCGGCACACTTTTAGTGGTGCCAAAATGTAAACGAACAAAGGCTGAAAAGTTGAGGCCTGCAGCGTAACTCTCTGAATCCATGGCAACAGTGCACTTCCTGTTGGTATTCCCCAAAAGATTAAACTGTAGTTCCAAAGGTTCGAGCCTGATTATCCTCCAAATAGAAGTAAGACAAACAGTAATAATAGGAGTGACAAAATCTGTTAATATTAAACGTCATGTAATATTCTTTGACACAACTAAGGCTCAGAAGGTCGGGATGGAGTCGTGGGGTTAGAGGGAGTAGATGCAGTCTTCTGCGTGTCTTATGTGTTATGACTGTAGTGAGATTGATATCTAGAAGTACGGCCTACAATGCATGGGTAGTAAATATGACAGGATCATTTTCAAAGAGCAGCACACTCCTAAGTACCACTACCTGCAGTGAATGCGGGCGTGTGCTGTTGCCTGCTGTCTGCCTCGGTCCCAAGGCCGCCGCTGTAACTCCCAACATCGATGCATCTTGATAAATTAAGCGCTGTGCAATCTGACAGCCGTCAAAGTCGGCGCTGAGCATCCGGCCATTTTAAAGTGGGCAGGCCAGACAGAGCGCTAGGCGGACAGATGCCCGGCAGATAGCATCTGCTTATTTAATAATGTCCCTATATGCTGGTTAGTGCCAGTCTCTGCCCCGCTCTATTGTAATAGTCTGTGCACCACAAGGAGCAGCAGCCAGGGAGGAATATGGAAATCAGTTGCTTTGTATTTCTATGTAAAAACAAAGCCATTTGAATCCAGTGCTTTAACCCTTCGTCTACAAAACCAGTCTCTCCATTCTCCGCCTTCTTTTTATTTTACATTTATTTCCAAATAGTGGATTAATGATTTTATTATGGGTGCCACAACCCCTGCTTTGGAGCCATGTATCAAAGCCAAAGCTCAGTCACCTAAAAGTGTACCTTCTCTCCTGTGTGTGTGTGTGTGTGTGTGTGTGTGTGTGTGTGTGTGTGTGTGTGTGTGCGCGCGCGTGCGCGCGTGTGTTTGCTTCTTAATGCCTCTTCTCTTTCCTTCCCCGGCTCAGTGACAGGTAAGGCGTACAGTTTATTTTTCTAACTCCAGAGACCTTTGAGTATTAATTAAAATGCTGCGTGCATTAGCTCAGTTTGAGTGTTTATGCTGCTGCTCAGAGTTGGGGGGGGGGAGGGGTGGGGTTACATTTGCCCAGTGACGGTGGAGAGATGTTGTGAGCCTGAAGGAGACGTTGGCGTTTCCGGGCCCTGCATACCAAATCACCGCACGTTTTGTATTGTTTTCATGCAGGTTCAGCTCTTAGATCCGAGCACATCCAGTCCAGTCCTTTTTGAAGTGAGAGTAGCAGTGTATTTAGAGAGCGAGGGCCCATCAGGAAGATGAAACCGAGCGTGGTAGTGGCTTCAGTCAGCAGGAGGACACAAGCGAGGCGAGCCAGATTTGCTGCCTCTAAAGCAGCAGACTCGCATCAAGCAGCCACCCAGCCGAGAGAGACGGAGGCAGGCGTCCTCTCTGCCTGGCGGCACATGCTAAAGGGCTCGCAGCCCTCCAAAGGCAGAGCGCTGTCGTCAGCCGCGGTGGAGCTGTCAGTCAGGCCTGGCCACCGGGCTGTGACTGCATCTGTCTGCTCGGCCCAAATGCTCGCATATTCAGTGTAGCAACTGAAGAATCTGATTTATTGGTCATTAAATAGAAATGTAGAATGTGAATGTAGAATGTAGAATTTAAATCTTTCATTTCACAAAATTAAAAAAAATCTTTTAGTTTACAAACGATTTTCCCACATAGTATCAAATATGTGTTACTCTATTTGAGTAAACGGCTTCAAACTGAAATGATGTGAAAATCATAATTGCTTACATCAGTTTTACTATTGGTTGGCTATTGGTTCCAGCTTCTCAATTGTGAGGATCTGCTCCTTTTCATTGTCTGCTGTGATGGTAAATTGAACATGTTTGGGTTTCTGACTATTTGTCAGAAAACACAAGAACTTTGAAGACGTCAAATTGGTGTGATGGTGTATTTTTCACTATTTCCTGACGTTACATGGCGTTAGACCAAGCAATTAGTCTATTGTTCAGGGAAACAATGCTGAATAAATCATCAGTCGTTGCCCCCAAAACAGGATTTTTTTCAGCAACAGCTTAAAGATAATGCATTTTAGATAATAGAGACAGAGTATCGAAACTTATTTTAAGCCACATTTATATTATCTGTGGAGCTGCAATAATTTGTCAAATAATTGATTAATCAAAAACAGAAAATACATTTTCAGCAATTAATCGTGTAAGTCAATCATCAAGCAGAAAATGACAAACTCTCTCTGGTTTCAGCTTCTGAGATGTGAGATTTTGCTGCTTTTCTCAGCTTGACCTTTGGTAGAGCTAATCCTCTGTTGTCTTCTCTAACTGTATTGAACTCTATTGTAGCCTGAGTGACGAGTTCTTCTCTGCTGGATTGGTTCATTTCAAAATAACGTACCCATAATGCTTTGTGACATGAGTAAAATGACTAGTTATGAATTTGCACCGGCTCTACTCACTCTACTGTGGTTACAAATGTATCAAGCTGTAATTGTGATGTTCTTCATATATTATATACACAGCCTGCTGTCTGACGGAGAAGGCCTAATCATAGACTGATCTATTCCCTCTTGTGCTGGCAAGTAAATTCCAAATTCATCTGATTTTGCGTGCTCACAAACTGCCATCAAACACGGCGCTGTGAGCAAATAGCCAGCATGCTCACTGTGACTCATTGGCTTAACAGAGTCCAGGCCAGATGGAGGACCGTCAAAGTCCTGGTGGGAGCAGCAGTGGTGGAAGAAGTGTTCAGATTCTCTACTTGAATAAAAGCAAAAATACCACAACTAGAAAAAAAGACATCTACTCATAATCAGTCTTGCAAACGCCTAAGCCACGCCCCTAGCTGCCAGTAGCTCCTCACAGGGACGCTGATTGGTCCATGCTCTGCCTTACTGGACACAAACATGGTACTTGAAGCCTGAAAAGAAGTCCCAAACATCCTTTCTCCTCACTATACTCGAGGCTTACTCCATCACTGCGGTGTCATGCTCACTGCTGAAACACATTAGTCACACTTCCTCTCAGAATTCACCAAAATAAATAGTGTTCTAATAAACTACAATTTCTCTCTGAATGTGAATGTTAACACATTAAGAGTTAATGTCATGGCCAAATCACAAGTGGAGTACACTTCCACATGTGTCAGTCCAGTAATGTTTCCATTGCCAGATTCCATCTGGTTGAGCATAGTGGTATTTGTGAGGAAATGTCTCACATTACTGTGATTTCCATCTTTGCTGCCTCATGTGCATACAAACCAGTGTAACACCTACCCTGCTACCATTACCTGCAGGATTGGTCTATAGTGGGATTGTCACAACTACCTATAATTAATTGTCTTTGAATATTTTCTGATTGTCTTAATTAGGGCTGTGACTAACTATTATTTTCTTTATTGATTCATGAATTGTGTATTCATTTTTGTGTATAAAATGAGGAGAGGTGCCCGTCATATTTTACCAGAGCTCAAGGTGACAGTTTCACTTTATTCCGTCTGATCAACAGTCCCAAAGCCAAAGCTTTTCATTTTACGATGATGATCAACAACGAAAAGCATCACATCTCTGAAAGATGATCGTTGGATGAAACCAGGCTGTCTATGTTGTAAAAAAAAAAGGTGCAAATATTTTTGAAAGTGGTGCTACATGACAAGAGAAAAACAGAGAAAAAGGGCTGTGGTATTCTCTTTTGCTAAAAAGGTTTATTAACAAAGAACAAAAAACTACAACACCCATAATGCACTGGGCTCATTGCCACCAGCGCCTCTCCCCCGGGCCACTACTGTTAGATAGGCTTGACCAGAGCTTGGTGATACAAATCTGGTTGAACATCTGCAAAGTATCCCTTAAATAACACATATTTTCTGTGGTGTGACAAAATGAGAAGACATTTATTTATAACACATGGTTGCTTTAGTAAGAAACCCTGACTTGGTCATAGTGGTGTTTGCATTATGTGGATTCAATATGTTTTCCCATCACCGTCAGTGGGATTTCTACTCTTAAATTCTATTGTGCGATGGACCACATGACTCTTAATGTCAAAATCAATTCATAAAACGATGATTTCACTTGTGAAAAACCTATCATAAGACCAATATCTTATAATATCCATATTCAAGTAAGAAAAACACACATTTAGGATATAATGTGAGGGAAATCCCTGAGATGTGTTAAAGGACGTTGCCCTGGTCGCTGGCACAATGAGCCAGGGAACCACGGTCTGTCTTCTGACAATGTGCGGTAGTTAAAAATTTAAAAGGAATATTAATAATTTCTGGTGATCTAATGCGTTCATGCATAACTGCTTCTATTTTCAAAACTGGGGCCAGAAAGAGCCTTCAGCACCTCTGTCATGCCGCAGGAAAAACTGCTTTTAACTCCATTGTGTCAATAAAGTCACTCCAATTCAAGTGACCCAAATTTTAAGTTAAAAAAGTTATTTTAATGGGCAGTGATTGTTTTTAAGCATATTCTGCCAGAATAAGTAGCGGATTTAATTTCGATGATACAGCCAAACAAGTATTTTTTTATCTCTCTGACTATAATCTTGTATCAAGTAATGATCTTAATTCTTTGAGGCGGTTTATGTCCAGCCTAGCAGTGCCTGGTGTGACTGAGTGTAAAGGAAGAGTATAAGTGACGTCCTGTCTTCGTGCCAGACTCTCTGAGTTAGGCCACTGTTGTTGAGCTGCCATCGCCAAGGAAACGAGTGCGTGATCAAGCTGCTGATGCCCACTTCTGTCAGAGTGGGTGGTACCGCAGACAACACACAAACGTCCCTCCCACCTGCTTACATCACAGATGGGTGCAAATGTATCTTAGCACAAATATAATGGAGCAAAATAAAGCTGACCGTGCGACACGAGCAGGAAGCCGCGGCCTCGGCAGACAGGTGATTCCCCGTCGGCCAATCAGAGCGATCGGCCACCTGCAGCACATGCTCCAGCTGGCCGGTGCTGGAGTTGGCTGGCCGGGGTCACACAAACGTGCAGCTGGGGGCTGCTGCGTGATCCTGGGTCAGTCCTGCACACCGTCAAGCCCTCTACACTCTCACACACCAAACATCTGGATGCACAGCATAACATCTGCCTTAACCAGCTTTCATTACAAGTATCATTCCTTCTTTCTCTTTTGTTTTGCGAAATATTTAAGGCGCATACACTCTAATAGAGTAGGGATGATTTTCCAACACGTCAAAAACTGAACGGTTCTGGCATAAAAAAAAATCAAAAAATGTAGTTGTACAAACAAGCCCAGATCTGCAGTTAAACATTGAATCTCTAGGTTTTGATTTGTAGACACCGGAGCGCCCGATGATATCATGGCAGGCAGCACAGCAGAGAGCCATGGGCTTGGCTGAGGAAAGTAAACATCCCTTGAAGAGGAAACACACGGCGCCATCTGCCTCGTGACACAACAAGGGTTATCATTAGATTGTTATAAATGGGTAATGTGAGAGGATACGAGCTGTGATTTGAAGCAGCCCATTTGAGTATGAAAACCCTGCTGAAGCAAAACAGTTGTTGTGATTATTGAAGTGGAATGTTTCCACACTGATAGCTGACAAACGGTCGTCATTCCCAAAGACTGTGTCGGGGTCCACAGGCGGGCCGGGCCGCAGGAGATTTTATTGGGGTCGCAGAAAACGTGTGCAGAATTTCCTCCAAAGTCTTTTATTCAACGTTTATATCTGCAGAGGGAGCCTGAATGACCGTATAATTCTTATAATTGTCGCCTACTTAAAACATTTAATTAAGAGTCTGTTAACTGTGCATGTGTTTTCAATACCACATGCATAAAACTAAGGTGTGATTTATCAAACGTACATCTCTTCCAAATGGCTGCTTTGCCTATTCAAGATCATAAAAGATGATGCGGAAGTGACAGGTCAGTATTAACAGTAACGTGATTCACTCTTCTCCCATTTATAAATAAGGACTCTTGTGATTTGGGTCGCGACAGTTCGCCATTTTTTTTAAAAGTGGATTGTTTATCTTCAACTGTTTTATGTGACTGACTTAAAAAGTATTACTCCGACTCCGATTAGATTAGCTGCTCGACGATGACAACATCGGAGCCCATAAAGCTCTTTGGTTTCAAACTACGGGTGACAAGTTGGCCCAAAATACACAACATGGGTCTACAGAAAAAAAGCTTGAGAAACACTGCTGTAGCCTGCTCCCCTTTAAAAAGAAAAAAGACTGCATTTGATGAAGGTAATCTCAGAGTTGAATCAACAGTCCACTAAAATGGTGCCATTTTTTGTCGTGCTGTTGTATTGGATTGCATTACAGTTTAGAGGTGTTCATTACAACCCTACATGAGGCGATGTTATGTGATCAGGACTGTAATGAACCGTGGATCTTACGGTCATCTGTCCTCTTGTCTCCCTTTTGCATCTTTAACTTGCATTATTCAGCTGCTCGGTAAATACGGTGTTCTTTGCTTTCGGAGGGATTTACATTTATGCTGATCCAAGGATATCTTCTTTCCCTAAAGGCCACAATTGGAATTGACTTCCTGTCGAAAACCATGTACCTGGAGGATCGAACGGTAAGAAGCCTCAGTTACAGCTGTACAATGTGTCAGCAGCGGGTTTTTTTCTGCTCGTTTCTACAATAATGCATGAGCTTACTGATGAACAGCATGTCCTCTGTCTTGCTCGCCATATGTAGATGAATGCAGTGTGTCTGCATGTCTGTTTACCTCGAGGAATCTTTTCATACAGCAGTACGACCTTGGATGTGTCATCACGAGGAGTCCACTCGTATAAATAATGAGTGTGAACCTCGCGCTGAGTACCCTCAGACGCATATCTGTTTGTGCGATTATTATGTTGTGTGTGTGTGTGTGTGTGTGTGTGTGTGTGTGTGTGTGTGTGTGTGGAGGGAGCCGACTGTTTCGGGGCTCTCTGACTATCTGAATAATCTCAGTCTCCTCAGCTGTCTCTCTCTGAACCCCAGGTGAGGTTGCAGCTCTGGGACACAGCGGGACAGGAGCGCTTCAGGAGCCTCATCCCCAGTTACATACGGGACTCCACTGTGGCTGTGGTGGTCTACGACATTACAAGTCAGTGTCCCTTATGACATATTTGAATATCATAACATCTTTTGTTTACCGCTTTACTGTCAACACAGGTAACCAGAGTTCACCTTTCTCTTACTCAAAGGCCAAAACCTTCACTGGCTCAGATTTGACAAATATCTCTTTGATATTTCCCAAAAGAAAAGTTGGATCCACTGCACATTGAGATGAGACTTATTGCTTCCCCCTTCTCAAATCCTCTTAATAAGGTGGCAATCCTTAAGATTTCATTCCTGCTTGATTAAGTGGTAACAACAAATGCAGTTAAATACGACAGGTCCAACAACACTGGGGGCAGCAGAACAAACTATTGTTTTAATTAAGAAGTCGGGCAATAATTGGCCTTTTTCTATTATTCTAAGTGATGAGCAACCGTGATGTGATTTTATGCTGCACACGGCTCGAGCCTGCCAACAGTGAAAGTGAAAGTAGTTGGTTACCTCGCTCAGAAGTTGGAGATGTGATATCCACATCTAACAGCTCACTGTGGCTGCTCCTTCATGTTCAATTGCTCCCTGCAACGTTTCAAACTGAATGCAGAAAATGGCCCGTGTCTTGTTTTGTAGATGCTTTTTTTGACACGTTTCCTGTGACTCCGTAATAAGAGTCAACTCGTGTTTCGCCGGTGAAATGCTTTTACTGTGAAGCGGCAGCGGTAGGAAATGTTTGCATTACCAGTAACTTAATCCAGCATCTTTCTTGGGAATGTCGCCATAGATACTGCAAAATGTACTTTCATTAGTGGGCCATAGGCTCAATCATAACAGAGATTTATATAAATGACAATCTTAGAGTTTGCCACTTTAAAGGCTCTTAGCTACATGTCCTATGTTCTTCTTGGAGGAGGAGAAGCAGAAGCTGAAAGGGAGAAGGTTCGATGTTTATACTTTATACATTAATGCCTTATGGAAAGAACCGTTTATCCTGAATACATCGCCCTGCTAATATATTCTGCTTCACAGTAGTAAGGAAGTGAAACAGAATTATTCAACTGTACTTTTTAGAAGGTGGTCTTTGCTCATCCATAGAGGTAAAACCATGTAATATCCAGTATTGTGAGGAATTATTATCATTTTCCGTGACAGAATGACATTTATTCCCTCTCGAATCTGTCTGTGGCTTTTATTTAATCGTTTAAAAGCAAATTACACTTGATGTAATATGGCTGCCCTCAGGTAGTGAATTTTATTACTGATTTTATGGAAAACTTATGGGTTACCATCCTCCAAAACCATGCTCTTTTTTTTTTTCCACCCTGAAAAAGATGTGGGGCCTGTCTCATCAATTTCCCAGTCCAAGAATACAATACGACTCTAAGTCTGCATGTCAGCAAGTCTGCATACTCAATAGACCTGGCAAGGTCAAAGGGATTTATGAAGATCTTCAACATGCTACAGAGCTGTGCACGGATTTATCGTCCAGTATCATCCATCAGCTAATATCTTAACATCAGGATTTGCGAGATTTGTTTCTTGAATTAATATCTTAGCAGCAGCTTAGCAGCAGCAGGTAAAACAACTTGTTGGATACATTTTGTATCCACAGATTATTTCCTGCCTGTTATAAAAACACCAAGCATGTCAGTGTTTAAAAATCGTGATGAAAGGTTAATAGATTTGTTTAGAGCAGTAGCAGCAGGAGACGTGTCAGCGCATTGAATGTTGCTACAGTTGCTTCAACCGCATCTTTAATTTGGCTACCCTTCGTCTCTCCTCCTTGACAGATGTGAACTCGTTCCAGCAGACGTCGAAATGGATCGAGGACGTGAGAACAGAGAGAGGAAATGATGTCATCATCATGCTCGTCGGCAATAAAACAGACCTGGCAGATAAGAGGTGTGTATGTTACAGACGAAACCTGCCTCCTGCAACAGCACCTGCAGCGCGTTTTTGCCTTTTTTTAGTCAGCATCTCCTTTCATGTCTTGACACCATGGCAACCATGATGTGCAGTGTCAGTCCGTCCGTCTGTGGGAACATTCAGCCGAGCACCTCGAGAACAAAACATCAGGCTGACTCCCTGCAGAGGAGATGGTTTGATTAGATGTCGGAGCATCTTGCTGAATAAATCTGTATGTTAATGAGACAGAACTGATTATCTTGGAACCAAAATAACTCCATAATTTAACATATGAATTTAATATAATGCCACCTCAGTCTCTTATGAAGACAGGTATGAGAAATTAACATTTGCTCTATTATATATCGAAGTGAATGCACTCATAAGCATAACAGGTTATGTTTAGTGTTGTCATAGTAATTACGGTGGAACATTAGGCAACTCAGCTGCTCATATTGCTTTGAAAGGGGAAATGATTGCTTGCTTGTTGAAATGACTCAGTAGTTTAGCCCCTGGTGACACTCGAGCAATCATGACCGCTGTGCACAAAGAAATTACTTTTTCATACACATATGTACGTATATAATTGATATTACTCTATAGTGAGGAAAGGGTGAGAACATGCTGATGTTTAATATAGCTGAGAAGGAGAAAGAAATTGATTTGAAACAGATGAGATGACACGAAGCAGAAATATAAAGGGAGAAATGAACCATAAAATAGCTTGTGCCAAAATGCATTAATGGTGTATTCTCTTTGCTCGAGATGGAATACAGATGCAAAGTCATCAGTAAAATGTCTTTAGTTCCAATGTTGCTTCCTGTTTTCATGTAAAAGTCCTAATCCTGACATCTTTAAGAAGTGTAGGAAATAAGCAGAATTTTATTGATTCTGTTAGATTATTTTTTTACCAGGTAGTCTCTTGTGTTGCATTATCTTTTTTACAAGACAGAACCATCTAAAAAAGGCAGTGTAGAGTAGTTAACACAAACAAAAAACACGCACTATTAACACTTTATTCCTGCATATGTGCAGCGACTGCTTCAGCACCGTCTGCTTCTGCCTTGTTTGCGCTCCAGAACGTGAATTTGAGAAACGTTTACATGCTAACACACTAAAGTAAGATGGTGAACGTGGCAAACATTATACATGCTAAAGAGCAGCATGGTTGTTATTGTGAGCATGTCCACGTTGGTATTTAGCTCAGAGTAACGCTGTGCCTGAGCCAAGACTCCTGAGTGAAGGCTGGGACACGGCCTTGAGCTGTGGGATACGACACATGCGCACTGTTCCAGCAGATGGCGCTAGAAATGAAGGGATGGTGTCCGCTCAAGCACTCCTTGGGTGCGCTCGCCCTGACAGAACCTTTTGGGTACGCTCGAATGGATGGCGGCCTATATACAATAAAGCATTTGTTTCTGGTCTTTCAAACATACAACATACATCAAGAGTACTCATTAGTTGTCATTAGTAGCATATGTCTGAGCATAAGTCAGGAGTCCAGTAATCTATCTTTCTTCTGTGTTATTGCTGTTCTCTTGTCTTGCGTGGCGACAGTGCTCTGGGACATCCTTTATCCTAGTTTTTACCAAGTCAACACTTTACTAAAACAGCTGACCATCTACTTTCTGGTCTGGTTGACTGATCTTAGTGTCATTTTAAGGAAACAATGGGCCACCATGGTAGATGTTGGTGTGGTAGCGTGGTCTAGAGTGATTTGGTTTGATCCTCTTGCATAGAATCAGATTACATCCTGTTCTTCGGGTTTGTTAAAGTGTTCAGGGGAGAATGATCTCAAATAATGTGTCCTCATGTGGTGAGTAACCATGCATAAATCATCACACATAATTAAATTCCTCTTGTCAGCATCATGTGCCCGCGCAGAAAAAGTAATATCTCCATCGTTAACATGTCGAGGATGTCGAGGAGCAGCAGAAAGAAGTTGCCATTGGCACTCTTGTGTCTGAGAAACAACGTGTCACTGACTGAAGGGCATGCATAAGAATATTGCTGGGATGGCAGTTTACAAGATGCATCTCGCTGGATCTGTCGATAAATGTTCATGGCTGCCATGACAACAGACCAAAGGCAAGAGCTTTTGTTTTTGAGATTGAGATTGTGAAGGTACAGTAAGACTGAGTATCCCGTCTGTTTCCACAATGTAGCAGGGAGCATATTTAAGATGATATCAAATAATATGGAAGCCCAAAGGGGACTTTATTGAAATGGTATATACTTGTATAGGTGTTCAATGACCATATTAGAATGAAAACAGAAAAGCTGTTTGACACTTCATTTCTAAAGTTGTACCACGCTGTACAGTCGACAATGTTCAAACTTTAATTCACATTTTCAAATTTAAGTGCAAAAAACATTGTCCACTGTACGGCAGGTTAAGTTGTTGAAAATGAAAGGTCAAGTGTTGTTTTCATTTTTAAATATACATTTATTATTCAATATAAATATTCATTTTTCAAAAACAGAAAATCAGGCTACATTGTTTTCATTGCATTTTCATTTTCAAATTTGAATCAACATTTGAATATTGTCCGCTGTAGAGCAGGGAAATGTCGAACAGCTTTTCCTTTTTCATTTAAATCCACGCCCAGATGTGTATATGAAAATGCAATAATCAATAATAATAAATAAAGGATTATTGCATTTTAATTTTATACTTAAATAGCACACATATGTGTAGAATTGTAATGCTATTGGGGAATTACATTTTCATTTTCAAGTTTACATTATCATTAGAGTCCCCTATGGGTTTCCATTAACACCAGGACTACCACAGCTGTGATATTAATCCACAGCAGCGGTGGCGTTAAATTAAATTATTTTGAAAATGTTAGACTCCAGAAAACTACTGAACCGTTTCACTTTCTTGTAGAGGTCATTTATGACTGCAGTTGGGTCTTAATGTGGTCTGGAAGTTAAAACTCCAGTAAATGTTCCCTGGTAAAGAAGTTAATGCTCTTTACTGCGTTAACATAATCTCTGCATCTCCTCTTAATTGGCTCCTTCCTACTGATGAGTCAGCCGTATCGCTGTGTGGATGAGCCTGACAGGTTTTTGCCCAAATCAGTGCAGAAACAAATATGAATTTTTTCCTCTTTTTTTTAACGACAGCACCCCACAGTTTTTTTTTTACCTCGTGCAAATGTGGTTGAGCCAGTAAATGTTGCACATACAAGAGATGATGAATGTTGGTGTCACTGTGGGCACAGTGATGCTACTCTGTCAGAACTGATAATGACGAGTCTATTTGGATTCACTATGTGACAATGTCAGAATATACACCAAATTAAAAAGGATAAGTAGCACGTGTGCATCGTATGTCAGTGTCTGAGGACATGACTTGGCACCTAATTTGGATGACATTGAAAAATGACTTGGAACACCGTGAGGAGAGATACAAGTCTGGCAGGGATGGACTGTGTTTTTCTCTGGGTCTGTTTCTCGGTAGCTGTTAGTGTCTCTGGACTTCCATTGTCTTCCTCTTGATCAGCCCTGACACATCTAACCCCACCTCAGACATCACTGAGAAGAAGCAGAGATTTGAGGGCTTTGCATTACTCTGATATGGTGCAATGTGGTTATCAGTTGCTTGAGAGCAGCACCTCCGTCAGCTGGACTCCTTCTTTGTTTTGTTGGTTTGTTCATGCATGGTGGAGCTTCTCCCAATGCTAAGTACCCAGGGGAGTTGGAGTATGCACAGTTTAGGGGCTGCAGAGTCTCCGGAGCCCTGGATAAGAGAAACCAAGTATGCATCGTACACCAGGCAGCATCAACCAGGAGGAGCTTGATGTGCTGCACGCTGACTTTTTCTATACTCCTACTGCAATACTTTGGTGGGTAGTTTTCAATTACGGTTTACAGCTGCTGAACTAGAGCAGCATTAGCATTCATTTAGCTATTCGGCAATTGTAAGTCCAATACTTGCAGTTTTTGCTGTGTTTCTGTCTCCACTTATTCCTGAGGGGAAATGTCAGGTTCTTTTGCAGCTAAACGCTCCACTATGTTCACCTGCTAGCTGCTAACCATGTCTGTCTGCGGTTTGGTGCTAAGCCGGTAGTGCACTGTGGATTTATCACAGCTCCCTGCTGCTGCTGAACCGAAGCAGTAAAGTTTGGGGCCATAAAACTAAAACTATGAAAGCTAAAAAGATCTGCAGAGCTGAGTAATAACTCTCTGTGGGTTGGTAGCTATGGGCTGGGATGTTATAATTTGATCCCTTATACATATATATATAGCATCAACCA